CTGGCGGTGTTCGGCCAGTTCCTGGATCATGACATTACTGCGACCGCGCTCAGTCAGGGCGTCAATGGAAGTTCCATATCATGCTGTTCGCCATTAGGAAGGCAACATCCAGAGTGTTTTCCCGTGCAAGTGGAAGCCGGTGATCCTGTGTACGACCTGACTGGCAAAACTTGCATGGATTTTGTGAGATCGGCGCCGGCTCCGCAATGCAAACTTGGTCCTAGAGAACAGCTCAATCAAGTAATCCCAAACATATTCATATATATAATTGATTTACAAATAACTAAAACTTTTGATTGAAAGAATAAGTCTGTAGTCTCTTCTTTTAATGTCAATGCTAAAAGAGAGAACTAAAAGATCAGTGAATTCTTTCTGAAAAGATGAATTTTCATAGATATCCAGTTTAAAATTAATGAAACTGGGAAATTTCTGTTACTCTCCAGATCTGACGATGAGTCTATTGGACATACTCAATTATATTCTTTATGTTACATCTGCGAATTTATTCTTGTTATTAAAATAAATTTAGTATTTATTCTTTTTTATGTAAATATATCATTTTTATTCCTTGAAATTAATTAGTGCCTTTTAGCCAATATAAATTAAATGGGTCTCATAGACTCAGCGTCAGTAACTTTGTCATAGATTTTGATGTTTCGAATTATATTTCGGTTTATATTATACGAGTATAATAAGAGTTATAAATTTGAAGCATAGATTTGAAAATTATTCATATATAATATATATTACACCTATCCTTATAAGAACACAGTATACTCCTGGAATATTATGAATATTATTTTCAATACCTATAACATTCTAACAAAAAGAATATTGCGTCTTATAAGGATATATAAATATAGTTTTGAAAATTATTCGGATCGCCAAAAGCGATCGAGACTGGAAAGAGATTATGCAGATAACGTTGCGTCCAGGTCAGCGCTTTCATTGATGGCTCGGCTATTTATGGCTCCGATAACGAGACTGCTTGCAATTTGCGCGAATTCATCGGTGGTCGTTTGAGGATGCAGTACACCCCCGACAATAGGACTCTACTGCCGCCAAGCATGAATCCCAATGATGGTTGCAATCAGGAAACCGAGCGACGTCGTGGCCGATATTGCTTTGCTGCGGGCGATGCCAGGGCGAATGAGAATCTGCACCTGACCACGATGCACCTTCTTTGGGCCCGACAGCATAACAGGATCGCAAACGAATTGGCTAGGGTCAATCCCTCTTGGAACGATGAGACGCTCTATCAGGAAACACGACGTATTGTCGGAGCTCAGTTGCAGCACATCACTTATCGCGAATTTCTGCCCATTATCGTAGGCGACAAAAGAATGAATGAGCAGGACTTGAGACCCCTCATATCGGGCTACAAGAAGCAGATGCACAATCCGGACGAATTAGAGAACGACCCAACGATCGCCAATTACTTCGCAACCGCGGCTTTCCGTTTCGCTCACACCTTACTACCGGGATTGATGAGAATGACGGACGCTGAAAAGGACACACCGTCCTACATAGAGCTGCACAAAATGCTGTTCAATCCCTATAGCCTTTACGCCGAGGATGGCATCAGACGTTCAGTCAGCTCGGCCACAACCAACGTTATTCAGAGGTACTCCACGCACGTAACTTCGCAGCTGACCAATCATCTCTTTGAGGATCCCATGGCTAATTCTACGGTACCATGCGGTCTTGATTTGGTGTCATTGAATATTCAACGAGGACGGGATCATGGATTACCAGGATACGCTGTATGGCGGGAATATTGTGGTCTAGGAAAGGTGGAAACTTTTGGTGACCTCGAAGGCTACTTGGATCATCAAGTTCTGAAACAGATATCAGATCTCTATGAGACTGTGGATGATGTAGATTTGTATACCGGCGCTTTAGCGGAAATACCGGAGTCGGACAATTTAATCGGACCCACGTTTACGTGCTTGATTCTCGATCAGTTCGTACGTTTGCAAAAGGGAGATCGTTTCTGGTACGAGTTTGCCGAACAACCATATCCTTTTACAGAAGGTACGATAAATTTTGGCGAGTAACAATAAAGTATGATTTTAAAAGTGGCTTAACAAAAAATTTGTTACTTGTTTTTTTAATTTCACAAAAAATAATTAATTTACGCATTCGTATGTTTAACATAAATTCTATTGCATTATTTTTCGCTTACAAAGTGCAAAGGCTCGATTCAAAGTTGAAATCGTTTGTTTTGAGAAACATATATTGTATTATTTTTTGTATAAATAATTCAGAATTATATATATTATATATGTTATATATAATCGTCCATTATCACAATCCTGATTTTTAAAAATGTAGACTTAGATATATATTATATTAATTATATATACATATACATATATATATATATGTATAAGAAATGAATAAAATACACAATACATGCCTTTAAAAAAAGTAAATATAATTTTATTTAAATATTTGTTGATAGGTTTTCGAAATTTATAAAACATTTTATTCTGTCAAAATCTTAACTGTTAAGAAAGAATAAACGCAACAAGTATGTAACATTTATAAAAATTTCAGATCAACTCATGGAGATTCGCAAGAGTTCGATGGCAAAATTAATATGTGATTGTTCTGACGGAATCACTTATGCTCAGATACAAGTTATGCGTTCTGCTGGCACTGATAACCCTATAGTATCATGCGAAGATATACCAGGCCCTTCCTTTAAACCGTGGAAAGAAAATCACACTTCCAATTTAACGTCATCGTAGCACTTAAATATGAGTTAATTCTCATAGATTGATACAAATTGTTTAATTGGATTTTGCAAATTTTTTACCTGTGGCCCAGATATTTTAACAACTATAAAACATTTCTCAATGTATCCTCACTACAAAATCATTTCATTTGTGTTATTAGGAAATATGTGTTTTTATGAATTATTTATAAATTTTGCTTAATTATTCAATAGTTTTTTGACAGATGCGATTATATGTACAATAATATAAACTATCGAAAAAATAATTTTAAAAAATATATATATATATATTAAAAAATATTAAATTTTATATATTTAATAACAATAAATTTTACATAATTTAATGACATAATCAAAATTAATTAACGCAAATTAATTTTGTGAATGAATTAACGTTGTACTTTATATTATAGCTCGTGTTCAGAACGCGCTTTTATTCATATAAATGAGCGTTTTTTATTTCTGAAATTCTAAGTAGGGCAAACTATGTATTTTATCAGCGCTCATTACAGCGTGTTCTGAATACAGACTTATATGTATTCTTTATAGCACTAAATAAAAAAATCATAAAAATTCAGTTTCTCATTCATTGCATTTTAAATTGTATATATTAGCGATTCTAATTCGAGAATATCGAATGAAGTATTTTGCGGAGAAATGCCTTAAGAATTAGGGAGTAGGTGGTTGACGATAAGGCGCTCAGCGGTCGTGGTACTGAATGCACCCAATGAGAACGTAGTGCGAAAAGGTCAGAGCGATATAGTCGGTACTCTTCTGCTACCAAATGCCCGTATTCATAGTAAGGCTTTATATTTAAGGCTTCCTTAAATTTAGCTTCAGATACTCTACGAATTATTTCATTGGCTACTGAGCATCTAAAGATAAATTTAAGGAAGCCTTAAGTATAAGGTCTGACTATGGCTACGTTTACACCGTGCGTTTAGTCCGCGACCTATACGATAAGTGTCTTCATGAATACGGGCATAAAGTCTTAAACACAATAGACATAGAGTGCGTTCCGTTTCTCGCATTGATGTGCAAAATGCATCGTTTATCCTTGTTGCTCACCAAATGTTAAACAAGGACAATGGATGCATCATGCGCATCATGCAAGATACGGAACGCATCTATAGGCAATAGGCACAGGCAACAGGGAATAACGAGCCGTCCAATCACAGCTCTGGGATATAATATCGAACTTATACTCCAGAGCTCTGATTGGACGGCTCGTTATTCCCTATTGCCTGTGCCTATTGCCTGTGTCTATTGTGTTTCCAGCTTAAGTCACACGGACACGGGCTTGGTGTGTGGCTAGCGGTTACGTCAGACCGCCACCGGTGGCGCTGATCGCGTGCTGCATGCAGGTTGGAATTCGCATCACTGGATCTGGATGCTTTCCATCCATTTGACGACACAAATCGACACAAGCGTTGTTCTATCCTTCTTGACATTCAGAGAGTAACAAAGATAAAACGACATTTGTGTCGACTTGTGTCATCAAATGGAAAGTACCCAATGGGTGCATTCAGTACTACACTGGCTGCGTTCAGCAGACTCAACAGTTTTGCAACAGTTTTATGATTGGTTGCGTTCAGCAGACTCAACAGTTTTGCAACCGTTTTATGATTGTCTGCTGAGATAGGACCATTCTTCTAGATCTAAAAATATGATCCAATTAGCGCGAAGGAAACTTCCAACAGTTGCAAAACAAACGTTCTGCTGAACGCACCCATTGTCTGCTGAGATAGGACCATTCTTCTAGATCTAAAAGTATGATCCAATTAGCGCGAAGGAAATTTCCAACAGTTGCAAAACAAACGTTCTGCTGAACGCAGCCACTGCTCACTGAGCGCTCAGTGAGCTCTTGCATCTGATTGGCATATTCCGTTAGAACTAAAAATATAGACCAAACAGATACAAGCGCTCACTGAGCGCTTAGTGAGCGGTCGTGGTACTGAATGCACCCAATGATTCGAAGGATCATGCAGTAGATCTAAACATCTGATTTACCCGCAGGATCGATAAGGTCGATAATGATAAATCCGCGCATACCAGCAGTAACATAGAATTAAAAAAAACAATTTTTTTCACTATTTCATTGTTCCATTACGTTTCGCTATTTTATTATTTTATTAAAATATATTCATTAGATATTTTTAGCCAACTGTTTATCTAAATTAAAGATATAATTTCAAATCAGATCCGGCATTACCGATAATACAGTCACAAGAATATATCTGGAGCATCTGGACGTTTCTTTTTTAGGATCACATCGCAATGCACGCGTTCCATTGATGCGATTGAAAAAGCGAGAATGGAGGGTGAATTAAGAATTGTAGTGAAATGGAGCGGAAAAGAATACGATATCCTCGATATTCAAGAGGAAGATACGGTTCTTACTCTGAAAGAGCGTATACACAGAGAAACAGGTGTTCGTCCAGAACGTCAGAAACTGCTAAATTTAAAATTTAAAGGTTATATTTTGAACTATTCTTGTCTAAATTTTGTCAGATAAATATAGTCATTATTGTAACTATAATAATTTATTTTAGAGTTTATCGTCTTGAAAGAAATACAGCCAAATATTTAGCTATTAATTATTATCCAGTATATATCAATTACAATTATTTAACTTATATTTTATATATTGCATATAGATACATATATATAATATGAATATCTATATAAAATAAGACTATATAAATTATAAATACTATTTACAATCCTTAAAATAATTTTGCTTTCCTGTACATGAAAGTAAAAAAATATCAATAGTATATAGGATATATGAAGTAACAATTCTTTTAGTTTATATATTGATTATTTCTATTATTGTGAAAAATTAGTAATAGAAAATTTGTAATAGATACTGTTAATCTAAATACACAAAGTTTTTAAAAAATATTTATAAATTTGTTCTTTGTTAGGCAAAGCAGCGCAAAATGAGGACATAATCGGCAAATTAAATTTGAAGCCTGGCTTTAAACTAATGTTAATGGGTTCACGTGAGGAGGATATTGCTGAGGTCAGTCAAGCACCTGAGGATGTACCTGATGTAATAAATGATCTAGATATAGAAGAAGAGGAAGTAGAGATTGAGAAGGCTGAAATAAATCTACATAAAATCCAGATACGAATCGATCGCTATATAATCACAGAACTGAATCCTTTAAGAAATGGTAAGAAGCTTCTTGTACTGGACATAGATTACACTTTATTTGATCATAGGTCAGTGGCAGAGAGCGGAGCACAGCTAATGCGCCCGTATCTCCATGGATTCTTGACACGTGCTTATAAAAATTATGATATAGTCATCTGGTCAGCGACTAGTATGAGATGGATCAATAAGAAAATGAAGCTTCTAGGAGTTTCGAATCATCCGAACTATAAAATAGCTTTTCATCTGGATGTCCTTGCCATGATTACTGTTCATACACCAAAATATGGAGTTGTTGGAGTAAAGCCACTGGGTATTATTTGGGGAAAATACAAGCAGTTCTCTGCGAAAAATACAATAATGTTTGACGATATCAGACGAAATTTCATAATGAATCCGCAGTCGGGATTGAGAATAAAACCTTTCAAACACGCTCACACTAGCAGAGTCAAAGATTTTGAACTGCTGAAACTATCAAGATATTTAGAATTGATAGCCGATGTTGATGACTTTCAAATCCTTAATCATAGAAAATGGGAAGAATACAAACCAAAAAAGAATGATCATAGCAGTGAAGAGACTAGCAGTAATGATAAACAATAAATTTTGGCGAAACTTATTCTTTATGCCACTTTGACCAATCGATTGATAGAAGAGATATATTGATTAACAGGAGGAGGATTGACAGAGTGACTTCAAGATTGTATATGATGAAGTGAATGCACGATGAAGTGAATGCACGAGAAGATGCATTTGTCAGATGTTTTAAAATCATGACTGAAAAACAAGGCTGTCCAACGTTGGATAGAACGACGATTAACTTAAGCGTCAGTTTCCTCTCATTGCAAAAAAATTTATGACAGTGATATTAGGTCTGTTTGCATTGTTTGCATTTTTTGCACTTAGAATCTTTGCTTTCAATATCCGAATATATATTTATCTCGTTTTAATGCAAAAATTTTTAAACTATTCTACAATGTGCTTTTTGTTTTCTGTTTGTTTTTTGCTTTTTGCTATCTTTTACATCTTGTCTGTTTGCTTCTTATCCGGTTTTTTGTTTTATATCGCCCGAGATAAAAGTTAACGAACTTCGGAAGAAACAGGAAATATGTAGCAAGAAATACAATTATTGATAAAACGGTTGCTAAAAGGGGGGAAAAACAAGAGGTAAAAAATAAGAAACGGGAAATAAAGAGCATATTGTAGAACAATTATTAGAGGTTTCAAGCAACACGAACAAATCTATGTAGTGACTTTTCCGAAAACATACGTATTTTCACATTTTTCTTATTCTATGTATTTGTAATGTATCATTGGTTGTGTATACACATGTAATAACGATTTAAATAAAAATGGGCAACACGAGAGATGCAATAATATAACGTACTTGGGTGAATCCAGTGCTGTGCATCATGTTGCAAAATTTTCTACATGTAGAATTTGCTACATACACTTTGCGTCACGCGTACGAGTTGGCGAACTTTTAATCTTATTCGACACGACGAGTTTACAGTTTACACCTACATGGGTTTCATGCAGCGTATTTCAATCATTAATACACTGATGTATACAGTAATGCACTAATTATGTAAATGCAATATCTATTTTATAATTAAATGCTAGTTGGCGACTTTATTTAGAGAATTACGATTTTTAAACTATTTAAATAAGATACTATTTCCACATTTTTCATACCGATTTAAAGCATTACGGAAGAATGTAAAATATGAGAAGTTTATTATACAACTGCAATTGTATAATAAAGCTAATTTATCCAACAATACGATTTTTAATTTTGTCTATCTTTAAAACTATAGATCTGTATTCTATCAAACATGATAAACGTATATTCAAAATATATTTACCACTTATTTTCCCTTAAATTTTTTTTAAAGAGATTTTTTTTAAAAAAAACTTTATGTAAATAAATATTTTTTTGCTTAAATACGTTTATTTTATTTTTACTCGATTCTTATTTTTATAAATATAATGTATTTTTATAAATATAATGTAATTATATTTTTTGTATTTCTATAAAAGTACTTTTTTATAGAAATACAAATGTTGACGCATTTTTAATGTCAAAATAGGTCACATGATTAAAATTGACGTTTGACATTCAATTCGGACCACGTGATTTATTTTAACGCTAAAAATGCTAAAAATAAACGTCGAGTGTCAGCATGAAACTACATCTTAAGTATAATTTTGATAAAATTGCTGTAAAAATATCTCTGAAATAGTTATATAGTGTAGTATCTTTATTCACAAGAAATTATATTTTAAAGAGACATTTAAAATTCGCTCTTTTTATGTTTCAAAATTTATTATACATGCAAATATTGTGATTGAAGAAAACATTATAGTATATATATATTATAATACATTTTAAGTGATCATTTATTAAGATAAAGCCTCTAGATACAAATTCATCCAAGACATTCATCCCTCTTTCTAAAAGTACCGTGGTAGAAAAAAAAAACTACTTATTAATAAATGTAAAAAAAGAACATTGCGACGAGAGCCCGCCTCAATTATTCATATACTACCAATCAGGTCAAGAACGACTCTAATCAAACGAATCGGGAAAGCACTTCATTGGAATATCGAGCGACTAGCTGCCTCGGCGTACCCATTGAGGAATAATGGGATTGATTTGCGTTGCAACCTTCCCTCCCCCGCTGGTCGGTGCCTTTTAACATCGAAGAACATAATCGGCTGAGCACGGCTGAGCGTTTAGTCATAAGCAACATGGCGAGCGCTCGGTGGTAAGCGGATATTTAGCCCGACGCGGAAACGTCACACATGCTGCCTGTAGCTGTCAAACTTGCAGGAAAGCAGAAGGATGGAGCTGTTCCGCACTGACACTCATTTTATCTTCGTGAAAGAGAGGCACAGCCTCTGGTGTGACAAGTGTACCGGTGAATTCGCCGCAAAATCAGGTGGGTGTGCGTACAATTGCATTTGACATAAAGCGAGTGACATAAAGGAGACAATTAAAGCGTCGCATACGAAAAGGGATCTCGACGTCGCGTAAGTTTTGAGGACGCGAATCCATCTCAAGTAGGAGTATGTACATTATGACTGTATAAAGATTTATAGACGACATAGCATTCCTGATAATTGATAAAGAAATGTTATATATACGTGGGGTTTGATAGTGACACTTAATTATTTTGAGATGATGATTTTGACGATGGATTTTACAGATTGGGAATGGGCCACGCCGAAGGATTTAGAATGTCTGGGGATGTTTTACGGCATAGTCGGAAAAATTGATCAGACATCGGTATTGGAACCTCGCTTGATGCTCATAAAGGATGTCACACCAGCTGGAGAATTACATGGCGGTCACATTGTTTACAAAATTAAATCTATCGCGTTTCTACATTTTGGCACAGAGAATATGGATATTGGTTTGCTACCTTGTAAGAAACATCAATATGTATTGAAGAAGAAAGGGAGCAGTGGATTATTTGATGTGCCACAGAAAGCAGCTTTAGCGAAAACCTGGGGTACAATCAAGAATGCCACAAATACTATAAAAAATACTACACAACATGCTGCAGCGTTGGCTACGTCTCAAGTAAGAGAGAACCTAAAACTGTTGGCATTCATGAATTCATATTTGGTGTCTTACACAATTTACAAGCTTAATATTTTCTATATAGATGAAGTCCACAGTGATTAAACGCAGCGTAGTAAAAGATAAAGACAGATTCGAGAAGAGAATTTTGGAAGAGCTGAATAAGATATTTACCGAAACTGATTCATTCTTTTTTTGCCAGACTGGTGATATTACTAATAGTTTACAACGACAATGCATAATGGAATCTCAGCATGACAATCAAGATAAACCATTGTGGCAACGTGTAGACGACAGATTTTTCTGGAACAAACATATGTTACATGACATTATTAATCTAAATGTTTGTAATTTAAAAAATCTTTATTTTTATATACAGCTGGCTCTAAACAATAAGACAGAAATTATATTTGCCCAAATAAATATCCTATGACATTGTATAATTATACTAATCGTATATAATAGTAGATACATAAAATTCATCTCTTTTTATTTGCTTAATAATTGATAAGTGGGTATATTATTTAAAGTTAGCTGCATATTCAATAACTAATTCAAAAGTCTCATTATATAATACTTATTTTTATCTTATTTTGCAGACAGATAAAGCAAACTGTTGGATATTGCCAATTATTCAAGGATATGTTCAAATAGAAAAATGCATAGTCGAGGTAGGTTTTGATGAGCAACCGCAACAAGAGATATTTAATTTGGCGATTATATCGAGAAGAAGTAGATTCCGTGCTGGAACTAGGTAATTTTCATTTACATAGATAATTTTCATAATTAGATTGTCATAATTATAAGTTTTATCTTACCCAATATTAAATATTAGAGAGAGAGAATTAAAAAAATATTTTTAAATATAACATTACACAGGTACAAGAGACGCGGAGTGGATGACGATGGCAAGTGTGCAAATTATGTTGAGACTGAACAATTAGTTTGGTATCATGATCATCAAGTATCCTTTGTACAAGTGCGAGGAAGTGTGCCAGTATATTGGTCTCAACCTGGGTATAAATATAAACCTCCACCACGAATTGATAAAGGTATAAGCAAAGAGATATCTTTTATATAAACTAGATTAGATTATTTTTATGTAACGTAATAATCTCTTATAATGATATTGCAGATGAGGCTGAAACGCAGATAGCATTTGAAAAGCATTTTAGTGAAGAACTTGCGTTGTACGGGCCTATTTGTATTGTTAATCTAGTCGAACAGACTGGTAAAGAAAGGATTATTTGGGAAACTTACAGTAACCATGTATTTAATTATAATCATTCAGATATAACATACACCACTTTCGATTTCCATGAATATTGGTAAGTATCTATAAAGTGAATTGCTTAAACTCATACTTTTTACGATGTTTATCTTTAAAATTTTGTGTTTAATGCAGTCGAGGAATGCATTTCGAAAATGTGTCTATTCTGGTTAATGCATTGGCTACAATGCTAACAAATATGGGTTACTGTTGGCGCGATAAACAAGGTATGATTTGCATGCAAAAGGGCGTGTTCCGTGTAAATTGCATAGATTGCTTAGATAGAACAAACGTGGTGCAAACCGCTCTGGGTAAAGCTGTTATGGAAATGCAGTTTTCAAAACTGGGACTAATACCACCTGACGGAATTCTGCCTGCAAACATAAGACAGACTTTCCAATCGCTTTGGGCTAATAATGGAGACATTATTAGCAAGCAATATGCAGGAACAAATGCTTTAAAGGTCTGTACATCTTACAAATTGCCCGTGCAAAGTCTGTCTTAATATAAACCATTAATTTTGTTCCAAACGATCTCTAAATGATCTATAATTTCTTACTATTTATAGGGAGATTATACACGTACTGGGGAGAGAAAATTTACTGGGCTGATGAAAGACGGCATGAATTCTGCAAACAGGTAGAACTTCGTATTCCTATCCTTCACACTTTGTCGCTTAATTTTTCTCATTTTCCTTTTTTTATTTCCAACATCTCACATGACACAGAACCTTCACAGTTATTGTACCGCGGAAGATAATATCCCAGAGTTAGATGTTTCAATATTATTCTCTATGGAACCCTGACATTGTCCTTTCATTTTCCTATAGATACTATCAGCAACACTTTATGGATGACTTACGTCAGGCGGCAATAGATACGCTGCTAGGGAACTCGATTGATGTTCATCAACTGAACAACGATTGGTCACACTATTTAGATATTCTTGATAATTGCTGTCTTGAACTTATACCTATGAAACCACCAAATATACAACTTCAACTTGCTACTCATCCTGACTTCCTTTATGCCACTGCTCTATATAATTTAGCAAGGTTCGTTGCTTGCTTTTAGCTTAATTTTTTGGAAAATATACAGCAGTTACATTTTTCTAAAAATTAATTTAACTTCTTGTTATTTTTTTATTACATATTAAATCATGTGGCGTAAAAAGAAATGCTTTGTGCTATTGTCAGCATGAGTTGTTTTTTTGTTATGAAAATTCTTCTGCATGTTTAATTTTGACCTTATATTCTTCCTTTATTACAAGATTTTAATTTTATTCATAAACCAATCATTTTTGTAAATGCTATAGTTAATATTCTAGTCAATAAATTAGACATAAAAATCGCTTTCTCTCATTTAAACAATTTCTTTTATATAGAATGTGATTTATTTAAAGAATTCCAAAGAATATTTAAATATTCTTTGGAATATTTTCTTGACGCTACTCTGTCTCTGAATCGTTGTTTAACTTTCAGCGTAATCGTTATGCATTGAGAATTAAAATATTCTTGCAGATATTACTTGAATCGTTTCAAGGATGTCTACAGACAAGCGACGATTGATATGATGTTGGGAAATTCAGTAAGCGAAGAAGTATTCTTAGAACGTACAGACGAGGAAGATAACGCGGCAACTGCGATTCACGTGAAATTATTGATTGAAGATTGTAAAAAATTACTGATACCTGATCCAGAAGTTATTCTAGGCAGTTGGGGAGTTATCGATGCTGATCCTGTGTACGTATAAATAATAAAATGTTTCCCGTAATACATTTACGTTGTGTTTGTTTATGAATTTATTTCAATCGATTTTTTATTTCAGTACTGGTGATCCAACCGAGACGGAAATGGACACTATTTTAATATTGACTCGAGATAGTTATTACATTGCTGATTATGATGATCAAATCGATAAAGTTACAAATTATCAAAGAGTTTTATTAGATGATATTGTTTTAATTGAATTTGGTCAACCTGAAAACATGGTCTCATTTTTCAAGAATAAACATTACTACTGTATTAGAATTAATTATAAAGTAAACGGCGATTATGGTTACTTTCACATGTTTCGTAGTACAAATTTAAGATTTTTCAATAATATGGCGGTTGTGATCAAAACTGAAGAGGAAAGCATTGGTGAGAGAACATATCCTTTATTTTTATCTATATTTATATCTATGGCAATTCTGAACAAATTTTATACTTTATATTTTTAAATTACAGAATCTTTGAAAGCAATTTGTGAAGCTATTTCAGTAGCCATGGAGATATCAAACTTGCCAAAAATTCCCGTAGCCATTAATGTTACATTAGATAAAAGAAAGAGTAAATTAGTGAATGCTAAAGGTTCTATTGGATTATTGGACATTTCATCGTTTCCGGAACTGACAAGAAATGTATCTGAGACACAGTTACTTGCTTTAAAAACAGCAGGTTTGTTATTAAATTGCTTTCATTATTTATACATATTATTTATACATATAATAAAATATTTATAAAAATGTATACTCCTAGGTACAAAAGCTTTAAGCAATATGTCAGAGCAATTTAGCAAATTGAATAAACTGAGTCAGAGTTTCAGTGCAAAGAAACCAATTGATTTAGCAAAGAATATAAGTAACATACCGGCGGAGAAGGTATCAAAGCCGATTTTTACAGTTGGCAACAGCAATATCTCAGGCAATGCAGAAGAGAAGAGTAACAGTAGCAGCAGTAGCAATAGCAGCGAGAATATCGAAATGACACACGTACACGTCGAGAAGCCAGAGAACTTCAGTCATGACAAGCATTTGATGGAAGCTTATACACCATTGATTGGTATTATTATGGGTGTGAAAAATACTAATGTTGTGGATGGTAGTGTTTGCGATTCTAATGTGAACGAGGAAGTATCCAAGAAAATGAGACCTAACAAGATGAATTTAAATTCAAAACCTGATTTGGCCATTGATGCGTTACATCTGATTCCGCAAACTGGATCCGGTACTAGTACTCTTAGCGCTTCGCCGCAGAAGATTACGGCAACGACGCCAGAGATAACAGTATACGATGTAGGAGATAATATAGGCGAGGAAAGAGATCGCATGATTCCACTATCAAGCTTATCGCTTACCAAGAATATCAGTCATTCAACAGGGGATGTTGATAATAAAGCATCGATTGGTGTTAAGAGCACTATTCTTCAAACAGATAATAGATTGGATGAAAAGAAAAGATCAGCCTCGGAACAGGATTTGACGTTGAACATTACATCATCTCAAAGCGAATCTGCCTTAAAATCCATAAAGGAAAATATCGCGAGCGTTACTAGTCCTGTAGCATCTACAGCCAAAGATATTTTGTTGCCGTTCTCCAAATTTGCAAAAGGTGTTCAAACGTTAGGAGCTAATTTAGACCCTAGAAAACTAAAAACAGGCCACGTAATGCGGAATTTGTCGGAACACCATATGGAGGAGCGCCAGAAACTTCAGGAAAGATGGGCCTCTTGTCAATCTAAACTTATTGCTTTATAAACTCTTTACCCGAATAGCTTTTTGACCGCGATTCGTCATTAAATATCAATTTAGAGCTTATTGATGGATTGTATATTCTTAAATATCAATAATCATATCATATTCACGCGAATACAACAGTCAATATATTTACGAATATACATTATTGATATTTATGAATAATATGAGATATATTAGCGATGCAAATGCTTTCACACTCTGAAAAAAAAAAGAAATAAGGTATTAGCGTTGTATTATAAACAGTTTTGTTATATATTGATCGCGTAATTTAATATAAAAAAATATCACATAGAGTGGCGAATTTTGATCACGTTTTGTAGAAAATCTTATAAATCGATCTCACTGCACCTATTTTCACATATTTTCACACTTCACAAAATAACATTGTTGATGTGAAATAATTAACAAACGAAACAATTCACTGTAGGAAAGAAAACTCTTTTCTATTATGACAAACAAAACTGTGACTATGTAACACAGAGTACAATGTGGTCAATATTTATTCGTAATTAATTGATTTGATAAATTAATAAATATTAAGCATAAAAAACAACAAATGAACTGAAGCATTTCTGTATTGTTATAAAATTATGCTATTTTTTAGAACTATTTTCTTGACAAGCCAATATGTGTATAAATTTATTATACATTCGCTAAATTTTTAGGGTATATTTTTATATTTTTAATAGCATTTTTCTGAAACTAATCTATTTAACTTGTGATCAATCTATAATAAAAAGCTGTTGGTATGTAAACATTTTGTAACAGTATTAAATATTTTATTCTTATTGCATCATTAAGTCTTATAACAGTATTAAAATTTTATTTTTTTAAGCAGATACATGTGTTATTTGTTTGATAGATGATTTTTTAAAATTGAAATACATAAAATGAGTAACATAAAATGCAGATGAGACGATTTATTTATATGAGAAGTCAGAAAGAGAAGCTTCATAGTCAATTATGTAAATACAGAGAATTATTTAAATACAATTGAGTAAAATCTATATATATAATGTGTGTATGGAGTTAGTGATATGAGTTTGAGATATATGATTACCAAACACAGAAAGATACATGACATTCTATTCTTGTTAGCTTTTCGAGAAATGTGTTAGAATTTTTTTTTAAGTAATATAAGTATGTAATTGTTTTAGAGTTATTAAAAAATATATAAATAGAAAAATTAAAGGCTTTTGTTAAATAAAAAAAATTAAGTTATAAATTTGTAAATGTGGTTACAAGATTATAGTCGTGATATAATTTAATTATGTAACAGAGAACAGAACTGAGTAATAAGTTCATGTATTGAAATCACATTTGTATTAGTGTTAATAATTTTAGATGCTTTAACATATGTTACAAAACTTACTATAAAAGTATTTCAAGAGCCAGCAATGCAGTATTATATCGAGTATATGCTTATAAAGTTGCAGGATACGTTCTCCTATGTGTAAATCAATGATGTAGGAGGATTGGAAAAATATTACATAAATCTTACATTTATTATAGGGAACTATAACATGACTTTACATTGCCCACTGATGTAAATAATCTCATTTCGATTGTTTCCATTCCCTGTTGAAAACACTTTGGAAACATCGACATTTATAGCAATTCTAAGCTCATATTTTTAGCGAATATTCTTTTTACTCTTAGCAATAGTCTGTGATACAATTTGACAGAATGCATACAGATCCTTAGTAACACAATTTATTGGCGCAATACTGGCCCAATATATATCCTAAATGCATGCTAATGTTTAACCAATATATCACTAATAAATTGTGCTACTAGAGATTAAATTCACGAATAGAGTTTATTGAAAGCGTGCATTCTAAAAAAACATTTGCACCGCTTTAGGATAAGAATAAAACTAGACTGTTTTCAGATACGTATTCTCTTTCTTGAAGGATTTTAACTTTAGTTTAATTAACGCAAGCTCTTGTTATACATATTTGCTTGCTCTACTCTTAATTTAAAAAAGAATTACTTTAGGGAAATCTTAAATTTAAATTTTGTTCAATTAATGCAATGTAAGGTCCAATGCAAATTTATTATCAAACCTGTGTGATGTGTGCTATTGCATTTAGCTGCGCAGTATTATGGATGATCTGCAAAAAATAGGTGAATTGGTGAAAATTTAAGGCGAAATTAGACTGCGAATACCTAAAATAAATAATTAAAAAAAAAATTCTCTTTGTAAAAAATATTTTTTGATCTTTTTTTTGAGCTTCAGATAAAATGTTATTACATACTTATGTATATGTATGATAAATTCTTAATTCACCTATTCTTTGTGAAATGAAAATTCGTATGTACATTGGTCGTACAAAATTATACGTAAAAATTATAGAGGCTTGACATGCCCCTTACATGTATCTGCTATTGTGTTTCCAGAAATTAATAATACGAAAATTCGCATACACCAAACAGCAAACATTCACAGCACTTGTAGACCAAATTATAATAAAATACATTTTTGACTTGTGAGTCGCAGTTTCTTTAATTTGCCATCTTCCAAAATTTTTCAAATAAATCAATCGTTTAAAATATTTAAATTGTAATTTATAATTTTACTTTAAAATATTCCAAGAAGCCCCATTTCCGTGATGTAAATGTAGATTAATATTTTTTCCTATTCGTTTAATTGTAGCACGTGTTTGTAATAATTTGTATATTTTACATTGCTTATATTGTTTACATGAATAAAATTCATGTAAGCCTAATGTTTAAATAATATATAAATCTATCTGAGCTATTCTAAAAATAGTACCAAATTGATGAAACTTCGGGAAACTCTTCCTTTGTTATTTGTAATATACTAAAAAAAATTTCAAGTAGATTCACTAAACCGTTAGAGAGTAATTATTATTTTAATTATGATGGTTATAAAAATTTAATACTAGTACTGGCTAATTAATAACTTATTTTAAGTATAAAATTACTAATTTAAAAATATTAATAGTATTTTTAATACTGTGTGAAAATAAGTGATTAATTGGCTAGTATTAGTATTAAAATTATTATATAAAATTATATAAGAGACGTTTTCTTACGGGAAACGTAACTTTGTCGAATGTAATTAGTAATAAAAGTATTAAAGAAATAGTACCAAAAATTTAATTTTTTTTATACGTATAGATAATATTTATACTAAATTACTGGAACTTCTTACAAAATTAGATTAATTTTCACAACACGGTTTCAGAGAAATTATTATTCATAATAAAATTTTGCGGTATGTATGGCTCAATATGGCATATTCTGTCATAATAATATATTTATATTGTTTAAATAATTCATATATTTATCTTTTTAACTATATTCCAATTACTTTTTCCGTTTTGCACTGGTAAATAATGTTTTATTATAGAAAGTTGAAAAATGACAAATAAAATTAATAAAATATTGAAAAAGTGAAAAATAATTTTTTAAAAATAAATGTATTAGCTACCATTTATATAAATTATCACTAGATTTACTACACGTTTGGCGCAGTTATGCAAATATTTCGAATTTGGGGGACTTTTGTCAATGATTGTATCAGATACATCCTTAAAATCAGGTAATCATATTTGGCGCCAAATGGCATGACTCAAGCGATAAAAATTGCCGTAAAATGTCGCGATTCTATTGTGTGATTTACCATCTAATATATGTATAGAGCCTGATAGAAATCCTAAACTCATCTGTGAATTGTTTACGTGACAAAATTATGAACGACGCACGTGGTGTAGAATGTTTGTGGGGAAATCCCATAAATTATCCACAATGTCCTCATGGTAATTTTCTCATATTATACATAAAGTTTATTATATTTATATAAAAAAAAAATCAGTTCTTTTAAGGAACAAATTAACCTTTTTCTTGCAGGACCGACTTTACTATTTGGAAAATATGTCGAAGAGGGAGTTAAAAAATTTTATGCATGTTCTGCTTGCCGTGACAGAAAATTATGCAGATTCTATTTAAAATATGGACAAGAACTGTCAAAATCTCAAAAACATATGTGGGAGCTGGAAAATAAGAAGTTCGCTCAGCGTTATGTTCATCAAGAATTATATATTCGCTTTAATAAACTTAAGATAGAATCTGTGACGAAAAGGTGTTATTGTCACAATTGTGAGAAATTAATATTTAATTCTGAAAAGGACAAGCATATGGATCATGAAATTACAGAAAATTTAACTGATTATCAGATGCATCATCCAACAGAACTTTTAAGACCCTTAAAAAATGTAAAGAAGGAAGCGCAATATTTATTTTCTAAGAAATCTACAGAGGATATAATAAATATGCTTTTGAAACTTGGAGCTAAGCAGATTCTTTGTATTGGCACACCAAGAATACATGAATATATAATCGAGCATTATACAGATAAAATGTCTTCCCTCCTTTTGGATTTTGATGGAAGATTTGTGAGTATTTTTAGCAAAAATTATTACATCAATTTGTAATATACTTTAATAATTTTTATAAGTATACATATATTTTAATAAATATGTTTTTTTTACATTCTACTAGCATAACTTTTTTGGACCTTTGGATTATTGCTGGTACAACCTTTTTAATCATCATTTTTTTAACAAAGATGCAATTAATGTTTTCAAAGATTTTCTTAAGCAAAATGAAGGAAAGGACACTTACTTAATATGCGATCCTCCGTTTGGTGGCCGTTTAGAACCCTTATCATTCACAATAAAAACGATATTTGACCTGCATAAAAAATTGAATAAACATTCTTATAATAATAATTTTTTCTTGAAAATCATGTTTATATTTCCATATTTTATGGAACATATAATGAGAGAAAAGAGCAATCCACCACATGTCACTGGTGGTTTAAGAGATTTGAAAATGTCTGATTATAAAGTGGATTATGATAATCATCCCTTATTTATATCAGAAAAACATGGTAGAAAGCAAGGTTCTCCAGTGAGAATTTTCACGAATATACCGTTAAATCTATTAGAACTTCCTTTATCTGATGGATATAAATTCTGTCAAGATTGTGCAAAGTGGGTTTCTAGTGAAAACAATCATTGCAAGAAGTGTAAAGAATGTACCTCTAAAGATGGTCGAACGTACAAGCACTGTAATATATGTAAACGATGCGTAAAGCCTACTTGGAAACACTGCCGAATTTGCAAAAGATGTATGTTAGAAAAACACACATGTGGCTCAATACCAAATATAGGAAGATGTTTCAACTGTGATAAATTAGGTAAGTGTCAATGATCACTTCTAAGACTTCCAATTATTGCTTCCATTAATATTTTATTAATTTATTTATAGGTCATATTAGAAAAGAATGCCCTAATTTGCCTTCTACTGAAATTACAATTGGGACAAATATAAAGAAACGCAAAGCAGACTGTGAATTAAAAACAATTAAGAAAAGTAAAGTTGGACACTCCAAGGAAGTTATTAAACAAAAAGCTGTTCTAGTTGATAAGAAGAAAGTCTTAAAACCAAGGAAAAATAAGAATTTGAAAAATAAAAAGCCGCTATAAATAAAATAACGAAATTAGTGTAAATGTTTCTATATACATATAATATTATAGTAAGTTTAATTTATGTATATTCGATTGGTGTGAATATTATATATTTACATTAAAATTGAAATTGTATTATATTATTATATTTATGTTATTAAATATAAATACATATAATAAACAAAATATAAATGTAATTAATATTATATTTATATTATTAAAAAATTCACAAATTTGTATTTTAATCTTTCTTTATATACTTTTATATCTTTTCAGTGTTTATTTATAGCTAGAAACTAGCTTCTGCAACAATGAATGAAAGCATAACATTTTATTATACATTTATTCTCACATAGAGATCAGCTTGTTTGATTTCCATAATCTTTAGAGTGCTGCATTACGAGTGGAAATATTCCCGAATACTCGGAAAGAATTTTAAGTAAGGAGATTCAATATGTATAAATACCCGAGGGAGCCTCTTAAGAGGTACAGTAGTATCTTACTCGTCTGTATATCATCTCGCACAACATCGCCAAAATCTCTTCAGGATGTTAAAGGAACTCATTGTTTTTGCTAGTTTGATTTTTCTGAGTTATGCTTGTTTGATTACGAATTGTCCTCGTGGTGGAAAGAGGAGTGATATAGCATCTTCTTTGAGAACTGTTATTCGAGAAGTATGTTATATATTATACTACATTATATTTCTATCTTCACAGTAAAATGTTTTCGATTTTAACCGTCTTCTTGCAAACAAATTTTATTTTATAAGGACTTTAGCAAATTCTTATATTTATTCAATTAAACATGTCATTAAAAATTAAATAATTAGAATTTATTTATCTTGTATATTGCTCTTCTATTATTTATATTGCTTTTTTCTATGACAACGATCTCGATAGTTACATTAATTCAAAAATTGTATTTATTTTTATTTATGTTGGTAAAATTTTGATGATCTGTATTAAAGAAAATCTAGGTTGATCAATAAAGAATATATATTATAAAAGTAAATTATACTAATCTTAGAAACAAATATCTGCATTCCGTTATTCATTGCGAGTACTGAAAATCTATAATTTATTATGTATAGTCGTATACTATAGATTTTCAGTATTCGCAATGAATAATGCAGCTATAGCATAATTGCAGCAAAATCTCAGAAGAATGAAAAGTCTCGAGGTTTAATTTTAATTGATTAACAATTGTTTATATTATTTAACAATTAATCTGATAATTAGAAGATGTTTATCTATGGAAATATATGATAAAGGAAACAAAAAAATACGTTACAAAAAAATTTTCTTTGTACAACGATAAAATATATCTTGATGTTTAAATCTTGAACTTTTTCTATTTATTTCCTAGCAAAATATTCGCATAAATATCATCAATGATATTTTATATCATTATAAGTAAATACACAAAATATGTAATTCGTTCATATTTACTGTAATATTCTCCTAGTGTCCTTCATGTGGTCCTAATCATCTGGGTCAATGCTTTGGGCCCTATATTTGCTGTGGTCCTAGTATTGGTTGCTTCATAGGAACACCAGAAACATCCCGATGCAGAAAGGAAAGCTTGTACACCAGGCCTTGCATTGCTGGATACGCAATGTGTCGCGGAAATACAGCAAGATGCGCTTCAAACGGAATTTGTTGCTCGCAAGGTAAATTGAACAATTCTTGTAAATTGGATTTTAAATTTTATCTTTTAAAATTTATATTCTTAACATGGCACTTTCGAAGTAAATAAAGTTTGCATTAAAAGTCCACAACAGAATTAGAGTTATATAAATATTATAATAGGAAACTTTGTTTATATAATAAAGAGATTGATATAGCAGCAATTGTAAATTAATTACTTTGCAATTAGAAATTAAAAATTATCAATCATGTAGCGCTGAAAAATTCTCTGATATATACATATATATTAAAAATTAAAATTGTTTAACACGTTATATATATAAGTGAAATATGTATATGAAAAATATTTTGTTTAGCATCCTGCCACATGGATACATCATGCAAAATTTCCGATGTCGGCAATGATCGAAAACTCGATGACAATGTGAATGTGATACTCCCAGGCAACGAAGTCTCTAACGAAATACTTCAATAGTATAATCAATTTCATATTAATCATTTAACGCGTTCTGATATTTAAATATTCTAAACTTTATAAAAATACAATTATGCAGTATCGATAATGAAACAAATAAAGATGTAAACCTATAAATTATGTTAGCATAATTTTTTTTAGGACAAAAAGCATTTTTTGCTATATTCAATATAATTTAATAATATATCAATACACGTATTTCTCATAAAAATGCATGTATTTCTCATAAAAACGCAATATAAATTATTTATTTAATTTATATAACAATATAAACTTAATACTATAATTATACATAAATGAATTTTAGTTATTCTGCATTATTATTTATTTTGAAATGGTAAAAATTAATATATATGCATAATATTAACTTTTTATAGTATAAAATTACTATATCATATATAATATAAGTATATTTTGAATTTATTATCAATATTTATTGTATCTCCACCTTTACTTTCTTTGTAAATAAAATTTCAATGAAATATGCAGTAAAATATTTCACAATCATTGTGTGTCTTTAATTGCTATAATAGCATTTATAAAGACAAATTAATAATAATCAAACCATAATTACTCCAACACACCTTATTTGAGAAACGTTGCCACAGACTTTTATATATAGAAGTTTGAGGATGTTGGACGAACAAAAGCTGGCTTTAATATAAATATTTTAATAAGTTTTATGTAAAGAGATAAATTTTTTCCTCTCTTCCTCTGACTGAGATCCTGAGTCCACGGACATTCATCTATCAATTTGAAAAATCACTTACTATATTATAGAACCATTAAATAATTTTACGAAATTTCTTCGCGCCGAGTTTAGCAGCAGCGCACTTGCGATATTAATTTTTCGGCCAATCAGCGCGAGGAGATCGCACGAAGTTTACCGAAGACCGATATGCCTCGCAGACGATTGGGCGCGAAGATTCGAGGATTTGAAATCACTGGGAGTCAACTAGGTGTCAGCACGAAATAATAATTTCTTTCTTCCAGAAGTTTACCCAAAAATGGACTTTCGATACGATCGCGCGTATTCAATTCATTAAAATCTATTAAAATCTCCGATTTTCACCAGTTACCCGCTGCTTGTCCGGCTCGCCTCACAAATCTTTGACAATTTGAAGATGGCGTCTCCTTGGTCGCGCGTGCGATGGACTTGTTTGGCGAGAGCGAGCAACTCGAATGTCTCGCGACTCGCGACTTTCGTGTTCGCCAAGCAACACGATGGAACTCGGACGTTCCACTCGCATCAGCAGCAACAACAGCAACAGCAACAGCTGCAGCATGAACGAACAGTATTCAGTGACGGAGCGAGAAGACTTCTAACCTGTACTGCGTTCGTCGCGGCGACAGGTCTCGGTTATGCCTTGTACAACTGGAGGGATAACATCCGACAAGGAATCAAGAGTCTCGTTCCGATTCCTCCCGTTCGTGCCATCTCTTTGTCTGACGGCAACCAGAAAAGGGATAAGTTTAATTTTATAGCGGACGCGGTGGAGATATCTGCACCAGCTGTTGTGTACATTGAGATCAGGGATGGCAGTAGGTAAACAATTCGTCGATTGACATATGATATGGTATTATATATATATATACAGGGTGTTAGTTAAGTATGTTGCCATACTTAACGATTCTTTGATTTATTTCAAGTAAAAAAGTCCATATAAACATGTGTCCTAAATGGCTTAGTTTCCGAAATAAACAAATTTAAACATGTAGTAATAATCTGTTTATTTGAAAGAAATACAGCTCGAACTAGTCAAAAACAGAAAAGCAAAAACATAGGCTTCAGTTCTTCTGATGAAATAAAACAATTAGATGAATTGTTGAAAAGTCCACCTTGCGATTTTGATGGACTGAAACAATTTGGCCTGAAAACGTATGTACAAGCTAACTGACCCGCAGCAACATCAGAACTGAAGTCCATTTTTGATTTTGTGACTTTAACTTTGACTTTGTTACTTTGTTTACGGTTGTTCAAATGGTAACTCACGCGAAGTAAGGCATATTTATGCAGGAAGATATCTCCAACGCAATTTACCGTTTCGTCAAACATTTGCGAACATTCACTTATATTTCGGAAACTAAGCCATTTAGGACACATGTTTATATACTTTTTTACTTGAAATAAACCAAAGAATCGCTCTGTTGAGTATGGCAACATACTTAACTAACACCCTGTATATATCGCTCATTTGCTACAACACTATTAAAAAAAAGTCATTTTTTAGTTATCTGTAAAAAAGTAAAAATATAAAGAAAAAAAGAAAGAACATGTTTTAAATGAGAGAACATACCTTTATTTCTCTATAATTAGTCATATCAAAATTGTTGTTTTATATCTAATAAATGTTAAGGTAGAATTTGTCTATAAGCACTTAAAACACATGAGCAACTAAACCAAACATAGCCTATATCTTTTTAGAATGTATTTACGATAGCTGGAGTATGTACTAACTCTTTACTTTCTGATTGTATAACAGAATAGACTATTTCTCAGGGAAGCCAATCCTTACCAGCAATGGATCAGGATTTATCATCGGTCAGGATGGTTTAATATTAACAAATGCTCATGTTGTAGCAAATAAGCCTCATACAGCAATGAAAATACAGGTAAGTTCTCTGAGTTCTTTTATCCTTTTCAAGCATTCTATCCCATAAGTAAGGCTTTCTAGCAAAAAACAAAGATGAAATGATCATTGTGCTACATTGTGTCTCTTGCTGGAAAGCACCATAATATTAGTATCCAGAACATTTTAAATATAATTTTTTTAAAGCCTTGAATTTATCATTTCTTAATTTAATTTAATTTTATGTTAGCAATAAATTTTATTCTTATTTGAAATTATATTTGTGGCTCTTATTCTCCCACATAGGTACGGCTTCATGATGGTAGTACATATTCTGGAACAGTAGAAGACATTGATTTACAAAGTGATCTTGCTACTGTGCGAATAAATAAGGTATTGTTATTCATTTTTCTAATGAATGTAAATATTGATACTGAAATATTTGTAATTGCTAATTTGTATTGAATAGACCAATCTGCCAACAATGAAACTTGGTTCTTCGGCTAACCTCAGACCTGGAGAGTTTGTAGTGGCTATTGGTGCCCCGTTGAATCTTAGCAACACTATAACAAGCGGAATAGTGAGCAGTGTAAATAGACCAAGTCAAGAACTTGGTATAAATAGCCGAAATATGGGATTAATTCAAACGGATGCAGCAATCACTGTTAGTAACCGTTAGTTTTGGAGCATAACATCATATTTTATATGATTAGTAAGTGATTAGTAAGTTACATTTTCTTCTAGTTTGGAAATTCAGGTGGGCCATTGGTGAATTTGAATGGAGAGGCGATAGGCATAAACTCAATGAAAGTGACATCCGGCATTTCATTTGCTATACCCATAGATTATGCGAAAGAATTCTTGAAGAAAGCGGAGTTACGAAAAAAAAACAAAGGTAAATCAAAGTGCTAGTCTATTCTATCAATGTGATACACTAAAACTACTGATTATATGTTACTTTTATAGATGTATTACATAAAGATACACCCAGGAGAAGGTATATGGGCATCACAATGCAAACTCTAACTCCAGAAATCTTAAATGAGATGCAACAATATTATGAATATATGAATGTCCGACATGGAGTTCTTGTATGGAAAGTAATGATTGGATCTCCGGCTTATATGTAAGTCATATAATACAGAAACATTTAATTATTATGAACTTAAATTATAACTGTATAAGCATTTACACCAATTTGCTAACTAATTAATTTTCTAAAAATGTAATATTAAGATCTAATCCTTCAAACCTGATTTTAATGGAATTATGTTAAAAAAAATTGTTTTTTAATTCAATTCAGGGGCACTTTAAAGTAATTCATACTAAAATATTAATTTGTTTCAAAATTTTGACAGTTTTCCAACATTATTGTATACATCTAATCTTTTATCTACTTCGATTATATCGATAGAACTAAATAATTTCAATGGATAATACTTCAAATTTGAAGAGGTTAATGTATAAGTTACAAATGTTTGAAATCAAAAGGTTTTTTTTTTTTTGAAAAAAGAAATCAAATAGTGACTAACAAAATAGATAAGAGAGAAAATAGAAATGACAAAGTAATGTTCAATGTACTTTATCAAGATTGAAATTTGGCAATTGTATTTATGAAAAATTGACAAATTTAATTATTATCTCTCTGCACTATTGCAGTGCTGGATTGAAGCCTGGAGATATAGTAACGCATGCTAACGGTGAGCCGGTGCTGGATTCGAACAATATTTATCAAATCTTAGAACAACCAGGAACAATAAATTTACAAATTTTAAGAAAAGGGCGAACTTTACATATACAAGTCGAGCCTGAGGATGTATAGTTGATTTGTTAAATAATTTTAATTAAATGAAAAACTGCAAAATAGATTAATGAAATTGTAAAATTTATGAGCTAATTAAAACATTTTTTTATAATGTAATATATATATATATATATAATTTTATATCAATTGAGAGCTACACGATATATAAATTTATTTTATCAAATCTTTTTCTTCAATATTGTACATCGTATGTATATCGTATAGTTGTTAACATCGTTAGTGCCTTTAATGTGTTCCGAATGTTCTATCGAGTTTCGATATAAAAAAACGATACTACAATAAAGAAAGAAAGACAAGAATCACGTTTATCGTTTAGCGCATCTAATATCTGGTGAGCTGGTTCATCAGTCACACCATCGAGCCTCTAGTATACACGCCTTTTGGTTGTATATGCATTTTAATTTAAATATACACGATAAAGAACCACTTAGCGACTTACTCAATTTATCAAGTGAGGAAGCGTTCATTTATCCGTTTATTCGCTTTATCTACTGGCATTTTTCGACCGCCACGAAGAGCGATGTCACGTCGCGTGGATAATCGCGTCGAGTCCTTGCTGTGATATGCATACGTTTACGCAAATGCGAATCTTAGGTATATGTACTTGCGTGCGTGCATACGTGCGTGAGAGAGTGAGTGAATGCATATGTACGCCGGGTGTGGTCCACCAGCTCGACTGCATTATGTTTATGTTGTTTACGACGTAAGGCGACCTCCGCAAGTATGTGGCCGGATCTCGCCGGCGGTCGTCGCGGCGAAATGCGTGGGTGTGGTTTCGCACATGGGGCTTCCACCGGCAGCGATTTTTCTGCGGGGATGATTTTATTGTCCGCGGACGCGTGCATCTTGTTGGAATTCTAAATGATCATCCCGTCGAGACGTAACACCAAGCGTCTGCGAAGGATTGGCGAAAGGAGAGGAGGAGGGGTGGCGACTTGACGATCCTCTTTGCGCAGACTTGAGAAATGTCGTCGATACACGATCGTGATCTTGTACACGATGATAAATAGCGATTAACTTAGTCTTGATAAGATGATGATAAGAATAGGAACAGCGTGTCTTCTCCAAAGAATCAAGAGGATGTTCCTTGAAATAATCTTTTACTGATAGAAAAAAATAGATGCATTGCAAATTTTTGAGTTATTAAAAAGGAAATTTAAACTTTAAGATATATTTAAAAAAAATTCTTTTATCATTCTTATAATACAGAATAAAAAATATTAATGTTCGATCGCGCGCTATTTGCTTATAAAAAATATTCATAATTAATTTCGAGTAAAGTTAAAGAAAAATTCTAATTTGAAGATTAAAAATTGAAGTATTAATTTTCATGCTTGAAGTTTATGAAATGAAAGAAGAGATAGCATCAAGTTGAAGGAAAAATGAGAAATAATCAGTTTCTGACGAGAAGTGTTGTTTCTTTAAAATATATTTCTCTTACCGAATATTACATTGAGCGAAGAAGGATAATTTATATGCACAAGTAATTTCTCTTTCGACATTTGGAATCGTCGAACTTCGCAGACATACACTCCAGACCAAAAGTTTGGAAAAACTTTTTACAAATTGATATTTTTGAAGTTACTCAAATATCCAACAATTCATTTTTTCACAATAATTCTTCAAATAACAGTTATTAGATCTAAAGATTTATTGTCAGAAAAACACATCGTTATGGATATATATATTTCAATGAGTAATCCTAAAAATATTTTAAAAAGTATTTCCGAACTTTTGGTCTGGAGTGTACATAATTACGTTGCGTATCATTACAATAATTTCACAACGACGAGATCATAAATTTCTACATATTGTTGCAACTAAAAAAAAACAAGAGAGAGAGAGAGAGAGAGAGGGGAAGGGAGAAAAGGAAGAGTCCCGTCGGTCGGTGCGTTACTTTGAAGTCACGCTGAATCGCGAAGGGTTAAGGAAATAAGAAGTGTCTTGACCTACGTTGTGCAGCACGGAGGAGAGTAGCGCGGAGCAAGCGCGAGTAATCGAGTATTTCTGCTGACCGTGTTCACGACTATTATTGTCTCTCGTCCCCTTCGCCCTCGATGGGGTATGCGATCTCCTTCTCCCCTTATCCTCCGTCGCCGTTTTCTTTTTCCTCGCCGTCCTCTTCGTCTTCTCGGCCTTCGGTGCTCGCGCCGACATGCGGGAGCCTATTCCCTGATTCCACGCTTTCGCGGACTATCCTCGCCTACGGATACCAACGCCCCGGTATTTCTCACCCACGTGATGCTGCTGTTGTCGCTGATAGCGGTAAATAGAGAACGAATCTTGCGGACGAGATCCACGCCCACGGAACGCGCTCTCGTCGCGTTCGCAAGATTCGCGCGGACGATGACCGGAAGCGAGAAGAACCATCTGAAAGGTCACGGCCCGCCGTTTACCTCGCCCGCGCTTGGAGTGGCTTGGACTCCCTCTCAAGACGTGTCTCGTTGGATTATCCCCGCAAAACGGTGCCCGCCGGGAGGAATGAGGAAGCGGAATGCTTAGATATTGACAAACAAACGCGTCGTGTGTCCCATGAGAATTCTGCACGGGACATTCTCAAGAGAGAGCCCAGCATCCGGGTTGGAAGACGCGGCGAGATTCCGTGGTTGAATCGACTCCGCGATCGCTCCCTTAAAAGCCAAGCATATAAGGAATCTCGCGCCGATATTAAAAGTTGACTCTAAATCGGTGATGTCGACGCGCACGTGCGCTTGGGCGTGAATTAAGTGCCGTCGTCCCCGTGGCTGTTTGAAATTCAGAATAATACGCAGGTAACTGACCATCGTATTATGGAAGTTGTATTTCCTGCTTATCGTAACGTTCCCCTATTTATATCGTGTTTGCGCGCTAGGCATAATGAAAAAATTTGCACGAGTACCAGTCCGTTGTGCCGAGATCGAACGCGATATTCCGCGGATACTATACCCGCCCACGTTTTCTTACATTCCGATTTTTCATTGTGATAATATAGCCGATGACCAGAAGAATGAGAAATTTCCTCCTCTACGCTCGGAATCGAGTTACTCGATTGCGAGATATGAATCTCATTAAGTAACGATTTCAGCGTTAGGAAAGCATCAATCAGAAAACAGAATTAATTTAAATTACATGCAAAGGATCTCGCGTTTTTCTTTTTTCAATCTTGTAATTATTAAGCGAGATATTTTTCTCTGGAATTCTAGAAATGGGGCTTTTATTCTCTTTTCATGCTGTACACTGAAAAAAAAAATTTGCAGATTTTAGATAAATATTTATCCCAATAGTACTAACGAAATATTTATTTATAGTAAATAAATATTTATTCAAAATAAAACAGTTATGTTTAAATCGAATAAATGTATGTTTACATTTAGTAAATATTTTGTTAGTACTATATATTGGAGTAAATATTTATTAAAAATTTGCAAATTTTTTTTCTGTGTAATATTGTTTTTTTTACAATTTTATCTCGATTTTCCGTTTTTAAAATTTTTGTTTTATGTTCATGAAGACTTACAATTAGTGAAGTCAAAATATTCATATTAATTTACTACTTTTTTATTCATTCATTTAAGACTAAATTTATTTTTACTTTTTAATTTTCTTAATTGAATTGTTTTATTTTAGCTTTATCCCTTTTTATTTGTTTGTATATCGAATTTGACTAATTATTAATATATAATATTTCAGAGATTATAATATATTTCCAAATTTTTTAAGAATATTACATTTTTTTATATATATTAATTAACTTTTTAAAACAATATTTTTAGTATTTCTTAAATAAATTTGTCATTCGCATAAATGTATTTTTCGAAACTTTAAGGCACTTTAAACTTTGAAAATTTGAAGCTTCAAATCTTCGAAATCAGTCCAAAGTAACAGCCCTATTTGAGAATCTATGCTGTTCTTAGAGAAACAAGATATATGCAAATGCTCGTAATGTCGGGTTTACATATCGCAGCGGTATTGATTCTCTGCGCCAACCCTTTATGTCATTATAATACTCGCTCGAGGCACGCGTGAATATCATATGTACACTGCGTGTACACGCGCGAGTCCGGGTCATCGCAATCGTCGGCACCGCCAAGGACGAGGGTCGTGTGATTTTATTGTGCCAGAGGAGGGATTCCTGGACGTCTGCGGTCTGCGGCGTGGAAAAAAAAGGGGGTAAAAAGGCCACGGCAGGCGAACAATTCCACCGAACACGAACGCGTCGCGGCCCTGATCAAGGCCAATTGAGAGTTTCTCGCGATTGAAAAATCGCAACTGCCGGCGATCGTCAGGCACAATCTCGTTTCTAATCGCGCGCATAAATCGCGATTCTACGAAGGAAGAAGCGAAACGTGCCGGGTCACGTTTTTCAGGCAAATTATCCGTAAGTAAGGATCTCAGATTTGCGCCTCTGATTTGCATTTTTGTAATAAAACTCGAATTCTCTTAAATATAAGTGGATTATTTTTGCTGATCTTCAACTGTATAAATCCGACAATATGAGATCCTAAAGGTCTGAGAATCTCTGACGAAGATCTGCATTTCGTATGTTAACGTGTCTGAAGAAGTGTCTGAAGAAGTTTGTGTGTCGCTTTAATTTCATTGTAGAGTAAGATAATACAATAATTTCGAACATAATGCAATTCTGAACGAAATAAGCTTTATTTATATCCAATTTTCTATATTCAAATTGGTTTTTTTTCTCTCTGATGATACCTTTGATATCTTTGATGAGATTAGGGTTACCGCAAATATAGGTGACTTGGGATAGTGCAGGTAACTTGGAACAGCATGTACTTTTATTAAATTTGTGGTATCCATCCACAAGTCAATTTAAAACTTAAACTTTCTTTAGAGACTCATGTGTGTGCGTGGATGGATACCACGATTGAATTTAACAAAAATACATGCTGTCCCAAGTTACCTGCACTGTTCCAAGTTACCTGCACTGTCCCAAGTCACCTACATTTACGGTGCTAAACTTGATCCTCGAAATTGGATTCAAACTTTATATTAGTCAAAATTGTACTATGTTCGAAATGGCACCACCTTACCTTATTATTATTAATTATACACACTTAAACATATTTATTGTATATAATTTATTGCAAGTATAATAAAGAATAATGGGCAGACGTCAGGAAGGCACTATATGCAAACCTTTTACGAACTTGTTGCTGATATAAATACGCGGTTTCTTAAATGTACGGTGCTCCACGGTAGAAGAAGCAATAAGAAGATCAACAAGTCAGGCTCTAGCCTCCTCCTCTGGCGCACCATCAAGAAAATTAAAGGCATGTTACTTGATCCTGTTCGCAAACTTATGACATGTATGAGTTTCGATTCGGTATGCGCTTTATTAAACGGCGCGCATTAAACCTAAGGAACAAGCTTCATCTCAAAAGCAAATACATACTCGCGCGTATTTATAAAACGAGGTACGAACGAGACAGCAGTTACCGAGAGCGGATCCTGATGTCCTTGACGTCGATCGACCATCGTAGCAATTATAATGATGACATTACACTAATAATGAGAACTCAAATCCTCTCGCTTGTAAATTAATGGAACTACTTTTCAAAAGATCTTTTAACAGAAATATCTCCCTGGACGGTGCAAGGGGAATTTGAAAGACTTCCCTGAACTACTTTTTACCTTAGGTTTCTGCATTTCTTTGAATTATCATGGATTAAGTAAAGAATTCATCGTAACCGGAACAAGGCTTTCGCGCAAGAACCTCATTAAAGTGCGTCACAGCATTGCAGATTAAGCGAGGTTGAGCGTAGCCTCCGGTAGCCCGGGCTTACATTACGGTCGAAGAAATTCCGTATCACCGTGATTGGGATCGTTGAACGACCTCGAGTAAGTCGAACCAGTTCGATCTGCCCGACGTTTTCGCTTCATTCAATTCTCGCTTCATTCTGACGACGCTTTAATTGTGGTATCGTGTAAAAGTTTCCGTGCCACACGTTATAAGAATAATTACAACCTGGGGATTCGTTGCAAAAGATTGGACATTTGCTCCTCCCCATTGTAATCAATCTCGAATCGAATGGGCTGTAGAGTCTTCTTTTAGAAATGAATAAACAGAAGAATGTACGAATCGAAAGACAAATAAATTAAAATTAAGATACAAAAATGCGAGGATGAAGATTAAATTTATTGATATTTTTGAATGATAAATCAAGTGTGCTTGTCAATTTGTTTATTATTTTACAATGAGACCTTGAGAAAGAAACGAGACACCTTCGTCGTTCATTTTCGCAAAAAGCAAGTCGACTTTTCTCACCTTTATGACACGTGCGAACGATATTACCATGCCAAAGGCATGATGGGGTTGTTGAGACCTTAGGATCGACTGATGCGATCCGGGATCGACGTATTCTGTCTCGGCGGATCCGCCTTGTCCTTCGGCGGTTCCTCAGGTTCCTGGTTCGAAGACATCCCGCACAGCTCGCGCCGCGTATATAAGTCAAAACCAGATCGCGAGTAAGGTGCACAGCCCGGACAGTCCTTCAGCCAGTAAGGAGGTCGGCAGAGACACCGAGCACGATGCAGGCCTTGGTAAGCACTGTCGATCCTTCCTTCAGTTTAGAAACCTCTTTATGAATTTTTCCATTTTGAGGAACTTCCTTTAATGAGGTTTCTTTAAGGAGGTTCCTTTAATATCTAAATGTTTAATTTTGTTTCTTTAAGCCCTAAAAGTAGACGTTTCAATATTGCGCATTATGTAGACCAGAAGAGAATTAGCTTATAACAAATTAGATATTTTGCATAATTAATATTAAAATTGCCAAAATGATCAAGACACATCGTTATAAATTTAAGTTAAATATAATTGTAATTTTTTAAAAATTATCTTTAAAAAATTATTCAAATTTATATAATAGTGCACTTTTTTAAGGTTTTCTGTAACTTCACTGAGAGAGAGAGAGAGAGAGAGAGAGAGAGAGAGAAGAGAGAGAGAGAGATGTCTGGTTGAAAACGAACGAATTATAACTTCTGATTATATTAATCAAAATTTCGATTATTTCAATTAGAATTCTAGTAGACTTAACCAGAAAATTTTTATTCGTTCGTTTCCAACAAGAATTCCAATTAATTCAACCAAACGTTTTTCTCAGTGCTGTTATAATATGTAAATCATTAAGAGACAAGAGAGAGAGAGAGAGTTGATAAGTTTTTATTTTTTTCTCTCCTTTATCCTTTAAAAAAATATGTAGTATATACTTAAATAATAGAAATTAATTGTCGATAGAGAGAGAGTTCCAATATTGAATATAACATATAATTTAACATATAAGGAAAACACTAATTTTTCGTTAAATAGCATTTGATTTATTTTTAGAAATCATGTTTTTACATCTGCATGCAGGAAAAATCGCAGAACGTATATAGATTTTTGTTAGACATTTTTCTGGCTTATTGTGCGTGACACTAAAAGTGAAGCATCAAAATCTTTATTACAGATGGCATCAAATTAAATAGCGGCGGTCCGAAGCGAATATCCGCGGGATCCGCGGGAGTGATATACGAGCGTTATAATTTATTTGCAAGAGTTGTTCTTGCGCGAGGCCTGCCGGCCTACTTGCTTTTTGCTGAGATATAAAAGCACGGAAAAATATACGTGTGTAAAATCCGCGGTACGAGAGCGCGACCACCGCGCGCGTTTTACGGCGATGGAGTCTTCGCCAAATGGCATTCTTATCCAACACCAACGTATAGGGATAGAATCCTGCTGTTTTTGCTGGCCTTTTGCAAGGTACTTCTGCCCGGCCTTGCGGGGTACAACGTTACAACTGTTTCACAACTTTTTGTACAACATTTATAGGTGGCTTAAATTGCCAGACATATTGCAAACACTGCAACATTTTCGAAGAATTCTCTTCTAAAGTTGTTCGTTTGAATGAACATGGAGATTTCAAATTTCAACCGTGGAATTAAACTGGAATTTTGAAATTTTCCGTCTGTGCAAATTTTCTTTTTGCAATACATTTTGTTTAGTAATTTTGTGCAATTTATCATTGAGTAGTACCTGTTTAATGCCACGTATTGTCTTTGTAACTGAGATTTAACTATTGACCTACAGAATATAAACAGTAACATTTTACATGGAAAGAATAGTTTTGCTGAAGTATCTAAAATTTTAATTAGATACAAATATGAAAGTAATTTTGTTAGACCATCAAAATAATTATATTGTACGTCTAAATTGATTGCTTGAATGTCAAAACATTTTGCAATTTATCATGTTTGAGATTTTTGAATTTTTGATTTTGAGAAAATTATCTTGATGGTTCAACAAAATTATTTCCAATCTGTATCTAGCTAAACTTTTAGTTATTTTAGTAAAATTGTTCTTTCTGTGCATCAATATGTTATATTTAGCAATCTTTAACAATTGTTATGTTATATTACATTTATATTGATGAATAGGAAATTATAATATGTAATGTTACTGTTAAATGTGTTCTGCAGGTGCACTCAATTATTTTAATTATAATTGTTTTAAGAAATTCTTAATTATCAACTCGTTTGTCTTATCTGTCTTATTTGTCTTATCTATGAATAAAACCTATGTTCTCATCTGATAGGCACTCGCCGATAAGTTGCGCTCGCATCGAGAAACGCAGAGAGTTTACAAGGAAAATACAGATTGAAGTTATCGATTCTTTTCTTCTTCTTGCGGCTCAACCGTAAAGAATTGCTTTCTATCACTTTTCTTCTTGTCGCGAACGGCCTGTCGTCACTTTTTAAAACTATATTAGACCGCAAAGAGTAGCTCATGCAAGTATAAATTCACTTTGTCTCACAAACGTTTGTTTTGTGATGTCCCCACGCTACTGATATCGGAGACGAAAAATTTATCGGATATTTCGTTACCAAGTATTCGCCGCGGTGAACGTGAGGGGTCTTCTCTTTCTCTTGTCCTCTGAGAGAACGAAATTCCCGACGCGGTAATTTTCGCGGTATTCTATACGAGAACATGTCCCAGGAACGTTCGCCAGTTAGTTGCGCGAGTAAATCCACTGACGCGACGATTGCATGCGAAATGAGTGTTCCGAGGGCGAGTGTACTCACGATTTGCATTTGTTACGAGATAAAGCGTACTCGACCGAATTTTCTGTGCCGTGGAACGAATGTGCATAATGCACGTATAATGTATCGTACACTTGCGTATTGCCGTATCTATTCCCCCCGACGAATCTGCGATATCGAGTAACGGGATATCATTCGTAGAATTGAACCGAGTCTTGGGAAGAGTTACCATATTCTAAATCATAAAAAAATGTATATGTGTACATTTGAAAAAAAAAATGATGATCTGGAGGCAGAATTTTTATGCGTTAAATGTATTTAATAAAATAAAATTTCTAGAACACATGATTTTTTTAACAATTCTTATTAAAGATGTATTATATAGATTTTCATAGTGTAATGAAAAAATTATGAAAAAATATAGATTATTTTAGAAATTTAAAAATAATACAAAAAATTTAGCGAAGATTCATCTGGATTAAACATTATTTTAATAAGTAGTAGGTATTTTTGAAATCTGTGCTCTAATAGAAATGTATGGAAATGTATTGTAAAATAATGATAAAAGTCTCGATTTTTTACACAAGTGTTTTAAATATTTGAGATGATTTACATAAAGTTATTACGTTGCAATACAGAGATTAGTTATTCTATAAATAAACAAAATGTTTATTTCTTCTAAATCTTAGTAACTAATCTCTGAATCGCAATGAAACTTTGCGTAAATAATTTTGAGTACTTAAAGTACTTATACAAAAAAATTGAAATTTTTGTCATTGTTCTTTTCAATTTTAATTTATAACAATAAAAATAATAACAAATAAGGTAAATAATCAATAAAAACGTGTTATTAAAAAAATATATTGTTATAAATACAACTTTCTTATACATTTATTTAAAGTTTATTTAAAGTATAAATGTTAACACATTTGTAAAAAAAAAAGATGTAATATATCCTTAATATAAATTTATAGATATAAATTGTTAATTAATGATCAGAAGTTTTTACCTCAAAAAGAGTACCCGTACTCTTAAAAGGGGATGGCTGGTAATTCTAACGGACGATCGTAAGGATATCGGGGCTCTATAAGCGAGCGGCGGGCGCATGCAATAAGTGCATCGATATAGAACACGTACAATTATCGCTTTGCAATTCTAGCTGGGTATGATCCATACGATAAAATATATAGAAGGTCTGTTCTTAGGTTTGTTCTTTAACTGAACTTCTTGTGTCGTTTATTTTTTCTCTTTTTTTCTCCAACGTGAAGAGAAAAAGAGAAAAGAGATGAACCGTGTAAGAAGCTCAGCTGAAAAGATCATAGATCTGTTCTTTTAAGTTAAACTTCTTGCATGGTTCATCTCTTTTCTCTTTTTATTTCCAAGGCGGAAGAAGTTCGGCTAAACAGGCTTAGAGCAAAAACCAACCGTAATCGCATGAACGTAAATCTCGATCGAGGAGACAGACGTTTCGGAAAATAGCTTAGTATTCATTCACAATACACGGACTAAGTTTGGCGTAAGGAGTAAGAGTAGAAATGTATGAATATGCATTGTAGTAATTTTTGGTACATTTGTAGCACTGGTTGACAATCTTATTGTGGATTAGTTGAGTATAAAGAATGGAGTAAAACAGATTTATTTTTACTATAAATAGAAATTAGACTAATAAATTAAAAAAAAAACAATCCTATTTTCGGTCGAAATAAATCTTGGTGCTTAATAATATTCATATGTAAATTTTTACAGATACATTTTCAGTTTCATTAACTGCGCCATCGATTCGGTTTGCCGGACTTGAAACGCAATCGCAAATTTAAGCTGAAATATTAATATCTTAAATTATATATTGATCGTCAATTTAATAATGATGCTAATAAGCATCTTAAGAACCTGTAAAGAATTTATTGCAAAATATTTTTGCGCCTACAGCTCCCTTACATAGGAAGTACGTTAGGTACTTTATTCTTACACCAAGCTTTCTCCGTATATTGTAAACGTAGACGGTGCGTGGTGAGAACTATCTTGGATGCTGGTTAGCTTCCGTATTCCCGAGGTGAGAGCCTATTGTTTGAACTCTGCAGATTCCAGTTTTCGCGATTCTTGGCGTGACGGCGGGCGTGCAGCTGACCCTGCTGCCCTATGCCTATCTGGTGGATCCGCTTCCGGTGTACCATCAGTCGCAGGACACGCGTGCGGGGGTGCACGCGTATAGCTACGCCGGCGGCCCATCCGCTAAGGAGGAAGTCCGGGGTCTCGACGGGGTCACGCGCGGCTCCTACAGCTACGTAGACGCGCACGGTATCCTGCAATCCGTCTTCTACGTTGCGGATGAGGGCGGTTTCCGCGTCGCGGCGACAAATCTTCCTACTGACGGTAATCTACCGCTCGAGACCAGCGAGGTCCTGTTAGCCAGGTACGCCCATCCGCAGGAACTCGTGAAGGCCGCCATCGAGGAGAAGAAGGGACACCTAGTGAGCCGCAGGAAGCGCAGTCTCGAAGCATTGGCCGATCAAGATCATCAGACAGAAAATCCGAGTTCCCAGGGAGATCAGGCCGATCGGGACTCGGCGGCGATTACCTCGCCGAAGAGTTCCCACGAGCTTCCAGCGCCGGAGGAAAAATCCGACAAAGGTCGGGCCAATCGCGACGCCGCGGGACCCATCGTCGCGCCTGTATACGGCCTGCTAGACTCGACTCTGAACTCGAGATTGACCGGCGCGGCGACTTCTCATCAGAGCCGCGTCGATGTTCACAATAACATTCGTTTGAAGGCCGTTCAACCCATCAAGACGATCGGAATCCCGTCGGGACCTACTGAGACGGTGATCCTTCCTAGTCAGGTACCTTTGGTGACCTCTCATCAGAGTCGCGTCCAGGTGCCGGAAAAACTCGTCAATGTAGAAACGATCGAGGTTCAGCCGCAGATAGCGGAGGGAGCTGCCGTCAAGTTGGAGCCGTTTTCGCTCGTTTCCGATCTTCCCGATTACAATGAAAATCGGATCCAGCTTCACAGAAATCTCGGATTGGAAGGCTCAAATCGCAAGAATGCCGTGAAGATCGACACGGTACAGCTGGCCATCGCCGCCGTACGTGCAGTTCCGGTTGCCAAAGAACCAGTTCCTGTCGTCGTCAATGAAGCAGTTCCGGTCATCGCCAAGCAGGCACTTCCGGTCCTTGTCAAGGAACCGGTTCCTGTCGTCGTCAAAGAGGCACTTCCAGTCGTCACTGCCGTCTCCAATCAGAACAGGATTCAGATCCATCGCAATACCAAACTCGAAGCTGTACCGATCGCGAGCGAACCGACCTTGTATTGGGCAACTTCCTATGCTCGACCGATTAGCACTTGGCCGATCTTAACACCCATCGCTCAATCCTCTCAGTATCGCCACCAGATACACTCGAACGAAAAGATTGAATTGCCAAAATAAAAATTCGGCCGTTTTGTTCATTGATATCGCGAGAATTTTCTTTGCGCGTTTATATTTATTTTCATTAGTAACTTTTAATGAATTTTTCGTAACATGATCGATATCTTGATTGATATCCTGATAAACAATATCATTTTTTAGTTTTGCTCTTTACGAAATAGACTAAAGTTTCTAAACATGTTATAGATACTTCAAAGATATTTCTTTAAACCAATTTGTATTCTTATTTTTTTTTTTTTTTTAAGTAAAAGTGGTTATTAAAAGTATTGAAATCGCAAAATTAATCATAACAAATATCTAGACTTTAAAGAGTCAAAAGAAAACGCGCGGATAAGTCACTTGCATCGTGCTTAAATAATTAGAATAAGACATTACCTTCAGCGAGAGTTCCATGAACGATTGATTGATGACAAGCTCGCTCATGGTAGCTCGCTTTTTGGACATCATTATTCGTCCCCGCCTTGCACTCATTTATCATGTAACGAGCATCTTACAAACCTGTATTAAATTATTGTACGATTATATGATAATATCTTCGTTCGATTCATTAAAAACACATCGTCAATCTTGTATGCTATAAATTATTACCTTTCTCTTGTATAAATTGTCACCTTTCTCCATAGATATTTGTAGCTTTCCATTAATATTAAAATTCAGATAATTCTCATTTGACGTCTTTTAATAACTTAGTTAAATACACGTTCCTTTTCATTCTGACGAGTGAGATTCAACTTGTGAGTTTTTATCTACAATCTGCATAAGCTCGAGACCGTGTGCTTTACTGAGTCTTGTTAACTCACATTAAAAGTGAGGTTTATGAATCTGTGTTGTTATGCGATAACTTTATTACTAAAGTAAGCAAGTAGTGACGTCATTATCTGAGTATAAAATACTCAGTATAACTTTAGATTCGGTACCACTTGTGCGAAAATGGAAAGCTATTATCGAAGGCGTAACCACTAGCTGAAATATTGTCCTACAGATTACATATGATTTCATCTGATTACAAATAATTTTTTCCACTATATATGTAGTAATTTGGTAAAATATACGATTTTATTTAATATTATACAATGATTTCTCGTGATTGCATATGTAATTATCGGATTATACATAAAAGTTTCATATGAATTTTATAATGATTTCGAAGAAAAACTCTGTCCCACGATTACATTAAATGGTTACCCCTTCGGCTATTATTGTAATATTGAGCTTAATCGAATCTTCGACGTTCGAATACGCTGCATAATGCCCAATAATGTCGATCCGGATGAGAATTTAAATTGACATATTCAACTGTCCTGCGAGAACAATGAGTGGATCTCCGACTTTGAAGGAATAATCGGCGCATTTATTCAAATCGCATCTTTAATTAGCCAGGTCGAATTCAATTCGTTCCCTTCGAACGTACGCGGAATTTACATCAATCTCTAATCCTGGGAGGGGGTGGGTATTCTTTTACGACCGGACAATTTGTCGTCGCCGCTTTATGCTCGATATGGAAATCGCGACCTTGACATCGGATTCTTACCGTCGCGAATATATTACGGCGTTAAAACTTTCATGCACGGATATCTCGTGTTCGTCGAGTAACGATGAGATTAACGGGAGAATATGCGCGAGCGAATCCAGCATGTGTCCCGTGCATTTACCCGCGTTCTTATGACGGAAATTTTTCTAAGTCGCGTATTCGCATGCCGGAGCGAGGCATCTGACAGGATTATTTTCCGCAGGTGGTATTGAGTGCTTCGGGTACGTGGATCGAGTTTTACGAGCAAGAACAAGGAGAACTTTATAGAGATGTGAATATCGATTCATTCCAGACGAGCCTATCCGCTTTTCGGATTTGTAAATCATTGTCGTGAAATAGAAATTTGTATCTACTTTTGCAAGAATTTATATCGTAATTACTTTATATTCTTTGATTTATTAACATTTTCATTTATGTATATACAATTTTATAATTATATTGCTCCAACGGTAGTATTAAATTATTATTATATTATTATATGTAATTATTACAGAGAGAATAATTCGTAACTATTAAATTATTGTACAATTTCCAAATGATCGTATAGCCACTTTTTTTATATATTAATATAAATTACGGATATTTGAGAATATATTGTAATCCGAACTGTTATGGAGAACAGAAATTATAAAAATTCGTAACTTCGCAGTAAAAAGTTAAGAATTTCTATTATAATTATTTTACAAAATCCTTTGATGTATGTATATATTGCGATGAACGGATAACTGCTTAGATAGCATCGGAAATCTGAAAAGAATTCTTTTTTATTTCCGATTTACGAAATAAATTCGTATTCTATCCTATTTTTGTTTTAAAGATATTCCTGAGAGTCCCAAAAGATTTCACTTTTATGTGAATTGTGATTGTGAGCTCTTTTTCAGATACAAAAGGTAATCTTTTTCTGATTATATATGAATTCTCAATCCAAATAACTTTCAAATAATATTCTAATGAATAAAAAGTCAAAAAGTATACTTTTATAGGGTTATATTTTGACTACACAAGCAAGAATTTTTTTAAATAGTTTATTTCAAACAGATTACTCTATTTCACTTAAAAAGATGAATACTCTTTGTGAATTCAAATGAATCAATTTTAAAAGTGGACATAACCCGTCCATCTCTAAAATCCCAAGTTTTTATCTTCAAGGGAAGGTGGAGGCATCCATTCAGGATGTCGTAAATGTATATACGTGACCGTTTGCGAAACGACGACCGGATTAGGTCGTTATCAGATTAGTAAACGAGCAGATAAACAAATGTTCATGGGCGAGAGGACCAAGAGGAGGCGAGCGGCGATTCGAGATCGGAATTTGATCGGGGGAACACATCCGCTAGCGAAATCTGGGATAATTTCGCGCTCGTAAAGATCGTTACGAATCTCACACGAACCCGTTTTCTCGACCGCGACGCGGATTATTTTCGCGGGCGTTGCATACGCGCGCACGTGCGTACATACGCACGTACATACGCACGTACATACGCACGTACATACGTGCGTGCGTGGGCGGGCATAACGGATGACTCGTGAGAAGGTCGTTGAAACGTTCCGTAGATTATTCCGGATCGGACGCATTACGGGCGCGTAGTAAGTACCTAGTAATATTCCTTTATTGTCGAACCTCGGTGCCGCACTTCGTATTAGCTTTAATAAAACGCCGTATAAATTCTCCACGTTTTTTTTTGCCCGCGCGCGGATAGTTCGCAAGTATTTGTAACACGGGAGTGTGGTAAATGCGAAATAATAATAGTCGCCATAAATCACACGCGATTCCAATATTTCTATCGGGACCAGAGAGCTACGTAGGAGATAAATGTAGCGCAGGTACACGATGCAGAAATGGAATTGCCATAAACCCGTGGGTACTTTGTCCCTTAGGATATTATATTGTCCCGTTCTGGGAGGAAACGAACCGATATCTGGATCAGAGTTTCAGCTAGAGAGTCGCTCCGGAGCATTATCTCGCAGGAACACGCCGTAAAACATGCATGTATTGGATTAAATAAATATAGTCAGTACTCAAATATAGGAAGATCACATATCAGGCTGTTACGAGCAAAGAGATATAAGCGAGGAGGATTCAGTTTTCTCTCAGTCGAAAATCCGACTTTCCGAAATGATCCGTTCTAATCCATTTCCGTTCTCCGCCTCGAAATTCGAGTCGCGTATTCATTAAACTGATGGCGGGAAACGCGATATTGGAGATCCATCTCTTGGGAAAATCGGCTTTCGTTCATTCGAAGTCCACCGCGATGGCGGAGGTCGAGGTAGAACGCAACGGACGAACGGACGAAGGTGGGAAGGCATGACGATTCACACTCGCGATAATAGAAACGTCCAAGTACGTAGCGCACGTAGGCATTCGCGCCGATAAAAGCCGCGCATACGTTACCTCGCGCCCGCGCCCGATAAAGCGTCTCGGATAATGATTTCCGAGACATTCGGCCGCGTGTGTATAATATACAGGCCACGTACCTAGATTGTTCGTGTCACGCGAGATGTTTACGCCCGAGATTGCGTTTCCGCGTGCGTTCACCCAAAATGGAGCCCTCGTGTAAACTTGTATCACCCCCGAAGTGACTGGACGTGAACAAGTCGAGGAACTCCAATCAATGAGTAGAACGTCACAATCTCTGTCACAATCTTGTTCCTGAGAGAAAACGTAGTATGATATATACAAAATGCTTTTGCTGAAGTATCGAAAAATTTAGCTATATAGATAGAATCTGAAAATAATTTTGTTGGACTTTCAAAATAATTGTGTAAGATGTTCAAACTGATTGCTAGAATGTCAAAACTTTTTATAGCATTGCTTATCATGCTTGAATTTATTACATATACAATGTAATGTATAATTATTATGTAATGTATAATTATATGTATAATTATATGTATAATTATTTTGATGATTCAAAAAAATTATTTTCTCATCCTATCTATCTAAATTTTTAGATATTTCAGCAAGATCAATTGTTTTCGTGTATAATATGCCGAGACTAGTAATTAAATAAATTAAAACAAGAATGTTTATTGATACATGTTTTTTTGGACGTGTTTCTTATGTCTCCTTTTCCATCGGTCTCCCACTATTGATATCTAGTTTAAATGTATTTATCAAATTTTTATATTTTTATGTTTTATTATTTATCTATTTAAACATTGTGCTAATTCTGATTTGATTTTATTGGCCGAAGAAGATTCTATGAGTCGAAACTGTTCCAATTAAATATTAATATCGATTATATTTTGAAATAAACGTTCTAATTATTTTTCACTTATACCATTTTACTTATACCTTGGTTCTTTTATCATTGCTTTTTAAAAGAAGGAAGCTTTTAATTGAAAGAATATATAAATGTCGTTTATAGTTATATAAATTATAAATTAACGTATTATTATAATTAATTAGTAATAAAATTTCCACCACGAAATTTTATTATGTAAAATTGAGAAGAAATATCTTACAATTAAATAAGAATTTAATTCTAACGGGCTGCTAATTGTTCGATTGTATCGTATTAAAAAGAAATCAGTAATATTTTAGAGTAAGATGAATGAAGTCAAAAGATAATTAGGAAGAGACTCACAGATTTATAACATGAAAGTA